ACTTTTTATAGGCACAGAAATAGTCCACCAAAACTGATTATTCAGACCAAGAGTCAAGGGTCTTTTCAACAAGAGCAGCACAGCTGCCATTTAACACAAGTGAGTGCTTTTACTGAGGGGAGTGCTGACAGTGTCCTCCAAGAGCAGATGTAGCTCTCCCCTGTGGACTTTTGCTGGTGGAAAGAGAAGGGGCTTCGGAGTGCTGAGTGAAGGTATTTTACAAGCCAAGTCCTGCTGGATCATAGAATCACAGAATCATAGAATAGTTTGGGTTGGAAGGGACCTTTAAAGGTCATCTAGTCCAACCATCCTGCCATGAGCAGGGACATCTTCAACTAGATGAGGTTGCTCAGAGCCCAGTCCAATCTGACCTTGAATGTTTCCAGGGATGGGGCACCTACCACCTCTCTGGACAACCTGTGACAGTGTTTCACCACCTTCATTGAATAATTCACATAGGGAAGTGCTGGCAGAAGCTTCCTGATCCAGACATGGAAACATTTCCCCTTGTTCCTCTTTCTGCTTATTTTTTAATTTTGGTATCTGTATCACTTCTATGCCTAGCCCTGCAGTTATTTCCACCAGGGATTCAAAGCCTACAGAGCTGGAGTATACGTATTTTTAACTGTAACAGAACACCAAGAACAATATAACCCTGCTTGTAGCTGGAGTTAAGACATTAAATGCAAATGAAAAATGAAAGATTTGCAACTTGATCAACAGTTACTTCTTTTTGAAATGTCCCAGAAGCATGACTTTAGTAGAAAAGGGTACTGCAAAGTGAAATTGGCATGGTTAGTGTAGTGAAATCGCTGTGGGTAGGAAATGGCAAACCTTGACTCTGGGGTGCTATCTTCACCACAGTTAAGGGGTGGAATATGGGTTGTATTAGCCTGGAATAGGTACAAAATGTTTGTATATATAGTAGCGAGTTACGCAAGCTGCAGAGAAAGCATGTGGGAGGTGCATGCCAGAGATAACAGGAGAGAAATTGATTTGCTAGCCCATCTTTGTGGGCTGCTTTAAAATAACCTCCCTTCTTCAAATCAAGCTGTCTCTTCAGTGTCACCATAGTGACTCTGTTCACTGGCCACTCAAATCTGCCTCACAGATTCCTTCAGGAGTCCCACCACTGAGAGGCGGTTGCTCCTGGAAGCATCCCTCCCTCACAGTCCCAAAGGAGAAACCTCCTCCGACAAACCAGACTTCACATTAATGCCTCCGCTTGCAGCTTGTGCACGGCACCCTTGTTCCTTGGCAGGACACTGCGATGCCGCTACACGGGCAGCAGTGCACAGGCCACCGAGTCTGGCAGAAGGAGAGAAGCACATTTGACACCCAAAGCTGTGTTTTTGGTAACTGTCTCCTGTTTATAAACAAAGGATTTGAACACGTAATAGAGGATGATTGTGTTTTCCTGCAATGCAGAACTCTGCATGCATGGTGTCTCCCCATAGTTTCAAAGCCTCTGTGAAAGAGCTTCACAGGAATTGCCAAATGGGGAGGCTAAGGCGATTGGTGTAGGTGGGTGGCCCCTACCCTCGGGCACCCTTTGTCAAGCAGTGCGTCACCATATAGAGTGGGATCATGGGGCTGAGACATCACCAACCCAGGCTGGGTTCCCACCATCTCCTGTCTTCACATCCCTGGACACCTTCAGACTGGTACTCTCAACACAAAGTGGCAAGGAAGAAACAGAGAAATGCTCATGCCTATTCCCAATCCTCACCTCCTTGAATTCTGTTGGAACTGAGCCTCTGCTGTACCATGACTGATTTTGGTTTCCCTCAGCTGGGCCACTGTAACAACCTTAAGTGACAAAATACAAAAATCCTTTGCATTCTTTTCTGGAAAAATCAGTTCTCTCTATAGCACCATTCATTTTATGTATACATTTTTTATGTGTGATGTCAAAATAATTTTCAGTGCCTTTCTAGCCTTCCCTGCTGATATATCAGAGACACAGAGATCCCTGAGATGCAGATGCGATGCAAGGTGGAGGGTGATGCCATTCACAGAAACGTTTGTCCCTGGTAGGTTTTAGAAAACCTTATAGAGGACCCCATTACAAGCCTTTTCTTCAACAAAATTAGTTGTTCTTGGTAGCATTGAAGGGCTGTTGAAAACTGGCTGGTTTTAATATGACCTTATAAAAGACTCACGTAAAAGGTAGAAGGAGCAATGGGAAACTAGGGAGGTTTATTGTTAAGGTATCAGAGGAGCACTGGAAAAGATCAAAGTTTGATTCTTGGCTGTGCTGATGACCTTAGGTAAATCACTCAGGATCAGGCTTGGAAGAGAGACCAGCTTGCTTAGGAAGCTTTTCAGAGTCAGTGCCTCAGTGGGAACCAAGGGGTGCAGGGCATGGTTGAAAGCGTGTTCTTCAGTTCCTAAAGGGAAGCAGAGACCTTTTCAAAGTTTGATAGTGATTGTGAGGGCCGAGCAAATCAAAACCTGAGCTTAGACTCTTCTGAGAATCTCATTTTGTCTTTCTGTGCCTCTTTTTCCCCAAGTGTAAAACAGGGAAAAAAATATTTTACCAGTGTTGTAAGGATAAATGTATGAATATTTGTTGAGATACGGTGGTGACAGAAGCTACAGAAGTAAATAGGACGGATATTGCATTAAAAAAAAAAAAACAAAACAAGTCCTGTTTTAATCCAAAAGGTGGAGTAGTGACAAGAACAATGGAAGTCAGTCTAACTGAATTATTAACGACACAACCATTTATGTGACAAGTGTCACCTTTTTGCCTGATAATTATTTGCAATAGGATAGTATCACCATTTTGTATGCCCTGTATATGCTTGAATAATATTTGGTAAATTGCAGTACTAAGCCTGACACAGAAAGTACTGCTGAATACAGTTACTTCATTACTCCTCCTAACATTACCAGAAAATATATTTTTGGAACCTGCTTAATAAACCACACGTGATCAGCAAACTATCTTACTTATAGATCACTGAGAGATGATGAAGCTCGTTTTCCATTGACGTATCACTTATTTCTGAGTGGAAAATTCTGCTAAGACAGTCTGCAGTTCAGGCTGCACACATGTTACTAGGATTGCAGAGAAAAACCTTTCACAGTGCCTCCGACACATTACTGATTTATGAGAGAACAATGTTGGACTAAATATGAATAAAATGTTATCCTTTCACACAATTTGGTACAGCAGCATTGAAATTGTACCGGGATAAACAACTGCCTTGCAATAAGTGTGCTCATCCATCATTCAGTGTTAGATATTAATTTTTGCTTATTCCAATTTCTTTGTGTTAAGGGTTTCTAAATTATAAATAACCCTGCAACTCTAATAATAATATATACTCTGTTAAGGAAAAGGTAAGTACAGAAATAAATTATTAAAGCATTCTATTTAAATATTACCACACGATTTATCTGAGTATTTGGAGATCAAGGCGGACACTGTCATATTTGAGGAGATATTGACAATGAGTCTATGGACAAATCATACATCTATGTTGCATGAATAGACTTTTTGTATGTGTATTTAGTTACAAAATTGTTACAGCATGATCTTCACTCTAAGGCTTGATTTTTCTCCTTTTAAGGTCATTGGCAAACTGTCTTGGCCTTAGTGAGAGTAAAATCATATCCTAAGTACATACATCACTGCTCTGTTCTCCCCTTGGTCTGAGCAATGAACTGTGATTAACATTAGAGAGAAAGCAAGTCCAGCCGTAAGCATTTTCATGCCCTAAGAAAGCATCAAGTACGAGGCTTCTCCTTGTCATGTCTCTCCTTTTTCTCTTTCATCTCCCTTCTTTTTTTTTTTTTTTTTAACTTAATTTGCTTGCAAGAGAATCTTTTATGCCTTAAGGAGGGATGGTTTTGTGATTAAGGCATTTGATGGAGAGCCAGGTTCAATTTCCAGGCCTTCCACATAAAGCCGTGGTAGGTCACTTAGTAAAGTGCCTTGCAGAACCGCAGTGCTAGTAACTAAATGGACAATGGACCATTCTCTGTTGGTGATGCCAACCAGCATGAAATGGCTGATTGATAACACTGTGACCATATCAAAACTGGTTATTGGGAATGATCTCTGGTCTCTGCTTGTCCATGAACCATGCCAAGCACTGTTTAGAAGAGCACTAGTTGACCTGAGTCAAAACCATCCTAGGGATGCATGTTAACAGTTAAATGGTATGACATGGCCTTGATTGCTTTTCTGTTACAGACACAGCCTTCAGTTCCCACCTGATATACCAGGGCTTGTCCTGTGTTTCAAACATTTGTCACAGCCCAAAAATAGAGGTAAAGGCCCAAGAGGTTTGTTCCATCCTCTCATTGCCTGCACCAGGTGAGCAGGCTAGTAAAAGATGGCAGGGCAGGTGGACTTCAGCAAGAGACTTTGCACCTGAAGGCCACATGCTGAGTTCAGCAAGGCAATAACACTGTGAGAGTGCTATAGCTGAAGGAACAGTAAGTAGAGTGCAATCAACACAGAAAAAAAAAAAAAAATTATTAAGGAAAAGCTGGAAGCAGCTGGAGACACAGTGAATGAGAGTACATAAGACTCTGAGTCCAGAAGAAAGAGGATGGAATAAGAGAGGATGGTATGAGAAAAATGTCAGAAATGGTCTCTGTCCTTGCAAAATGTAAAACATCGTTGAACAGTGGTCAACATCAGATATATTGCCCCATAAGTCTGTGGTCTTTGGGCATAGTTGTCATAGTAGATGCTTAGCCTGTAATCAGTTATGAAGCAAATGAAATAAGGTTCTCTATGAGAACACAAGACAAATGTATTTCTTATTTTCTATGCTATCCAGCAATTCCTTAACACTGCTCTTGAATGCTTTATTGATAAAGTTTTGTAACAGCTCACGTGTCCTGCCTTTTCTAATTCCTTCCATCTCTTCTTTAGAGGTGCAGTGGAAAGACTTGTTGGCTTGTTCTTCACTGACTTGTGGGACAGCACTTCAAATTTGTCAATGGATCAGAAAGACTGAAGAGCACTTTTGCTCCCACCAATGTTTCTTAGAGCTGCTAAAACAGGACCAATGAAGATGTTCACCAGACTCCAAGTCCTTGCGCTAGCTTTATTTTCCAAAGGAGTTTTCCTTTCCCTAAGTGACCACAGCTTTGTAAGGAAGGAAATTAAGATAGAAGGAGACCTGGTCTTAGGTGGCTTGTTCCCAGTCAATGAAAAAGGCACCGGCATAGAAGAATGTGGAAGAATCAATGAAGACCGAGGCATCCAGCGCTTGGAGGCCATGTTGTTTGCCATTGATGAAATCAACAGAGACAACTACTTGCTGCCAGGAATTAAGCTTGGAGTTCACATTTTGGACACATGTTCCAGGGATACATATGCCTTAGAACAGTCTTTGGAGTTTGTCAGGGCATCTTTGACTAAAGTGGATGAAACAGAGTATATGTGCCCCGATGGCTCATATGCCATTCAAGAGAATTTGCCATTACTCATTGCAGGAGTCATAGGCGGTTCCTATAGCAGCGTCTCCATACAGGTAAGTCCCAGGAGCTCCATCAGGTGAGAATCATTCGTCTGCAATTCCTGTGAAAGAACCACTGCTTACATAAGTTTGTCAATGAAGCAAGTCTTAGCTCAATCACTTTACCCTAGGGGTCAATCTAGCGTATATTTTTTAGTGAATTTATATTAGTTTGATTCACTCTTTAAAGCACTTGTAGTTTAAAGCTCTGGCAGCTGTCCCCTTCCTCTAGTTATGGTGTATCCTGAGGGCATCTGAAGTTTCCATAAGTCTTAACATTTATTTTGAACTTTGGATTTCATGAGACTTTTACAACACTAAGTTAAGATCTCTGCTTTAACATCAGTAATAAATTATACCACCTATATTTCTGAATATATGTATGTCTGTCATGCTGCATGTACATAACCTTTGTCATTTAAACAGCAGAGATTTAAAATGAAAGAAGAAACCCTTCTCTTGCTTCCAGACTGAAATAAAGTAAAAATGGTATACTAGCCAGAAACTTAAATTACACCTGAACAAAAAAATTGCAAGTTTTTAGTGTCTAATTAAGCACACAGAAGCCAATGAAAATTATTCTGCTAACTTCAGTTAGCGAGGTCTCAAATAATACCCCAGGCAGGCAGTACAATTTCTGAATGGATTCTAAATTTGCTGTCTTTCCTTTTGTTTCCACATATAGTTCATACTAAGACTATTTTTGCCAGGAAAGGTTGCCAGGCAGAGAGCAGTGTAAGTACTGCCAGAAGTCCAGCACAGAAGACAGATGCCCTCAGTATAACTTTTTCCCTCCTTGTAACTGCAGCTTTTGGTTTTACAGTATTGGTCCCAAATAGGGTCTCAGTAGGGTGTTGGAGAGCATTTAATGGCTTGCAAAGGTGTAAAGTTGCAGGTGGGTTAAATGCTCCATATATCCTTCCAACTATGGTTTTATTGCATGCTTGTCTTCAGTTCCAATGGCTAAACATAATGTGGACTCTTTTTGGTTTTGGCTTCCCATTTTTTCTAAATTCATGATAAATTTTAAGTCCTTGGATTATTTTTTTTTTCCATTAATGAATATAAGGAACATATATGCCTTTTTTTTTAGCACGAATTCTATATTTCTCATCTCCAGAGTGGGTACTCCTATGGCAGTGCAGCATCGGATATTCTGAAGTTCCCCACCACTGCCAGTGGCAAAAATGCCCCCTAGCTTCACTGAACCTGCCAAATCTACATATATCCCATTATTTTGGGTGAAACTAAATAAGCCAGTCCATATCACCCATAACCACAAGTGATTGGTGTCTTAAGCCCAGATTCAGGTAGAGTAAGACCCTGCATCTAGTACTTCCTAATGGCCAGCTGCAGGTTTACAAAGGCACCAGGCCTTGAGAGTGCTGGATGTGACTGAAACATGCCACCAGACTACTATAAGCAACATGATTTTTTCCAGACTGAGTATAGTCCCTAATTACTGCATTAATGTCTAAGGAGAAAAATGTTCTTCTGTGCTACAGATCATCCCAGCAGTGACAGAAAGCTCAGGGAGCTCCTTTTATCTGTTTCATCAATAGGCCAAAAGTTCATCCAATGTTTGTTTCAGTCAAAATTACACTGGGGAACTGGCTCCTGCTCTTGTCAAGGCATTAAATCCCATCAGTTTCGGAGCAAGTCCAGTTGCCATCAGATGTGCATGAGCATTTCAACAAATTACATTTTATTCCCTTCTGTGTTCCAGTGTGTGGCTTGTCTGTGTATTTATAGTAGGGAATACATGGGCAAATGGTTACCCGCACCACAGGAGAATAGTTTCTGCAGAGCAGAACCTCAGTCACCTCTCATACTAGGAGTTGTTTTGTCCCACTGTGGACGAGCTAGTGTGGCAGGGGTGTATCCTTCTCCAGGAAGGGTCTGATCACTTAGAGCACAAAGAACAAGTTCCAGGGCTGGAAAAAAAAGACATCTGAAGAGAAGAAATGATAGCTTCAAAACCTTAGGCAACACAAACTGTTAAGGAAATCATTATTCATTGTCTCTCTCAATCAGACAAAGGGTACATCAAGTGAAACCAGTAAATGGCAGGTTGTTGTGGATGCTAAAAACTCATTTAGTTCAAGAAGTGGAAAGAAAAAAAAACCCAGTAAATTCTGTATAGATATCTCCTCTGTCTCAGCAATTCCCAGAGCTGCAAGCATCTCAAGGCCAGTAAGATATTTTGAAACATCATATGCTTGCCCTATGTCACAGGTGGAGAGGTGGCAGTGGTTTTGCTTTACCTTTGGTCTAGTCATTTGTTGTCAGTCTGTTTCTCAGTCCACCCTAAAGTCAAGTAAGTCCAAAGGATATGAAGTACCCTAAAAGGCACATCCATAAAAGTAGTTACAGCTGAGGAAATGGCACAGATATTTCCTTCCCTGCCAGAAACCCTGAGGCAGGCATGCCACGCTCCTAAAATGTCCCAGGGCCTGTTGCACAACATCTTTCAATCTGTCCCTTTGAAGCAGGTCTCTGGTGTTCACTGATGTAAGACTAAATCCATATCTGAGGCAGCAGATTGGATGCAGTCCACATTGAATATACATAGTATATACAGATGCTTCACATCCCAAAAGCTTGGGTTTGGAGCAGCAGCTGTCAGACAGAAATCGGAAGTCCTGATAAGAGACTTTCTCATTCAGTACATATGGAAAATGGCAATATAGCTGTATGCATATCTGTATGTCGCCCAATTTTCAAAACTTATGAGGGATGATGAAACAGTAGTTATACCTCATATTACTCTATACGCTATAGAGCTTCTCTAAAGTTGCCAATAGCTGTTCAAACATAAGATCTTTCTTACACAGTTCTTCAGAAAAATAAACATATAGGTTCACAACCCATTCAACGTGTCATCGAGAAGTTTCCAGCTAGAAAAGAGGTATTCAGTTGATTATTTTCCCTTGACATAGATTGGGTTGGCCTTCCTTCAGTCTCTCTTTTCTAGCTTTGCTCTGGATTTCACACTATTTAGAAAAGATATAATTAAGTTATTCACTCCTTCTGCTTATCTTATTAAGATAACCAGTCATGACTTCTGTTTCAAAGAAAATCCTTGTCAACAATAATAGACATTGCAGACTCAAGCTTGAAGGTGTAAGGACTTCAAAGCGTTAAAGCCATGCATTTTGGTGACATGCATGAAGAAGAGACTATCAAATCTCAAAGACAGTCACTTGTACAAAGTAGCTCCAGTAGCAATTGGAATCACACCATCATTGAACATCAAACCACTTCAGCAGGCACGCGTGCAAGGCTGAGCATCCCTCTTTGCTATGTTTTCAAGCAACACTCAGGGTGCTGGGTGCTTCCAGATGTAGCCCTGTCAAGCATTTCTCTTTTGCCTGAAAGTTGTAAATATCATAAAGTCCATAGCAAAGTTTCTTAGCCTTAAAATAAACCATGCTGAGCTCTTCAGACAAGAAATTATTTCTGGCTTTTTTTTTTTTTTTTGTCCTCCTGTGAATTTGCTGCTGTATTTCAATACTTTTTCTTCCCCTCCTTTCACCCTCCCTTTCCAGATTTTTGTCTGGACAGCTGTCTGCCAAATCACTTCATGATGCTCCTGCTGTCAGATTTCTGCTTCTTTCATTATCCTTCCACCAAGGAAAAAAGAATTTGCTGGTAAATCAGCAAAGAACACCTTCCCCACTGAGTCAGTATGCGCAATAGGCACTTTTTGCAGAGACTAAAAACAACACAAGAATGCAGAATGCTTAATTATTTTCTGGTCAGACTAGGCTATTATCGTTAATGATGATCTGGATAATTAGTTTTTGGATGTTGTGTTTAAATTAGCAGTGAGCCCAATCTGCACAGCATTTGATCCCTCAAAACGCAAGCCAGGATTCTCAGGCAGTGGAAGTGCTTATGTAAAAAAAAAGCTGTTTTCATGAAATAAAATTCTGACCTGAGTTGAATCTAGAATCAGAAGGTGAATTCTCCAAAGTTTGGAGGACTTTATTTTGAGTTCATGGCTTTTCATTTGAGACAGATTATCCACTCTCTCCTACTTTACAACAGAAATTTCAAACATATTTTACTTGGAGATGTTCAATGACATTGTAAAAAGGATAAGAAAAAGCACTGTTCAATGGCACAGAGGAGCACCTACCTACCTAATCCAAATGCCGTGTTTAAAATGCTTAGGTCAGTTCTGTCAGGAATATGCATGTATAAGCAGTACTACGACTATTCAAGTGCTGAATTTGTTCTTCTCTGTTTCTGAAAATTGGACTCATCTTCTGAAAATGAAGATTGGAGTCCATTCCCTGCAGTCAACCCTGCAGAAATGTTAAGACGTTAAGACCACTCCCTTAGGTGGGCTGGGCTTTGCATTTCCACATCCACTATATTCACATTGATGTAGGGCTTTAACCCTGTGTAAAGTTTCCTTTATGCTACCACAGGACCTCCAGACCATTGTCATGAAAGTTATTCCCAAGTTAGAGCCTCATCCCAAAAAAAATGGCAGAAAAGAAACCAGTACCCAGCTGTCTTCTCTTGAATTCCTTGCTGTGTCTCAAGTAAACTGTAGCAAAACCACTAGAGAAGGTTTAAAGGCACATTACTGCTATCACAAAAGCTAAAGTCTCTCTCCTAAGTAAGTGACCATCTGGCATTAAATTTAGAATATGTACTCATTTACTGGCAATCTTTTCCTGGCTGATGTTTTTCCTTAGCCACACAAGTCTGCCAAGGGCTCATGGAGCCTGAAAGCTAATCACCTCCATTTCTGTCCTCCAAGGATAAAGCATCTTTCAAGCAGAGTCTTAACAATAGCCTGTGACTTCATAATCACTGAAAATAGTGCAAAATCCTTAGAAAAAAAAAATAGTGCAAAATCTTTCAAAGAACCACATGCAAAATAATCCCCCATAGCGTATGGGGCTCTGTACCCTTATGCATGGACTCAATGGGGATACGGGCAGGACAAACATGCAGGTGTTCCGGGGGTTCACCAGGAACCAGAGACCACATAGGACATT